ATATGTATTGAAATTGAATAAATGTAACTGATTACTAAATTAGCTGTAACCGTAATTCCATCCTCTTGTTTACATTGCGTTTTGGGTTACCAGATCATATCATTTATCGTCGCTCTTAGCGATATTTCTTTTGTTTAAAATTCCAGGTGGGCTATACTAAAGCTGTGCCAAATAAAAGAAAAATATGTACTTACATTTTTTTGAGTGTTTAACCTATTCTTTACTGATAAGTAACACAATAAAAAATCAGAATCATAATTTAGATGACATCTTTGAAGGAATTCGAAGATATAAATTAAATTTTAAAATGGCGCGGAAATGCACAAATTGTCAGTAACCAATCAGGGAGCTGATTACAGCTCGTTAATGCACAAATTTTCTATAACCAATCAGAGAGCTTAATACATCACGGTTAGAATTAAAATTATTTAAAAATTCATACATAATAAAATCATTTTTAAAAAAAAATGCAAAATTAAATTGTATTTTAATATTTAAGAGCCATAAATAATGTTTAAAACATTAGATTAAATTTATACATATTAAAACAAATTACTTTTAAAGTAAGGTGACATCATTGATTACATCATCCACAACATAAAATTTCATAAAATATGATAAACAATAAAATTTTTATTTCAAATAAAAATGCAAAATTAAATTGATTTTTAATATTTAAAAGCTATAAATAATATTTTAAACACGGAATTTATGCACAATGAAAAGCATTATTTTTTAAATAAAATGACAACAAAGTATCGGTTACCATAAATAACTTATCCAGCAATGGGTTTACCATAAGTTGTATTACTCGCCAAAGGAAAATCGCCAAAATCCGTGCAACCTTCTACCAAAGTAGCACCAAATATCTCACTACGATATAAGTCTCATACACAAAATGAAGATTATGATAAAAAATGATTTAAAATGAGAAATTTTTCAATTTAAATGTAAAATAGCATTAAAATGAAAAATGTAAAATTACATCACAGTTATGTATGAAAACTACATAAATTAATTTAAAAAATAGTTATTTTATCTGGTTGTAAAGAGTGTTTTCTGCCAAAAAACGTATTAACGTGTATAATTCTGACACAACGCTATAGCACAATTTGCCACTTCCGCCTAGGTATAATAGCAAATTAACAACACAAATCAAATTAAACTGTAAGCAACCTGTTGATGCAACGAAAGTAAACAAACGCCAAGAACTAACGCTGTCACCCACATGACGTCATGCGTATGTGGCATAACTTTCTTCCTGCACTGCGCACCGCTCTTGGGCCCCCCTAAGGCTCCTATATACCAGGCTGAATCATACAAGCATCTACGGAGAGAAGGCAACTTTTGGGATCGGAGATCGGAGATCATCATTCGTTAAGTGGTGTTCGACCCGAGGGCCTTTACCACTACATGTTTATCAATCCCCTAAGGACCTGTAAAAGTTCGTTAAATTCCATAAGCTAGAAAAGTCCTGTGCACTTGTAATAAAAGTGCAAAGTCTTCAGTAATGAAGAAGTTGATCAGGGGTGGCGACTTATATCGGCCACAGATGAAGTCTTCGTTGGATAAGCTATAATAGCAACTAAATTTTGGCATATCTTTTACACATTATCATATATTTGACACAGTATCGTACATTAGTAAGATGAAAAGGATGATAAAGATGAAACAAAATCTAGATTAAATAGTTGAAAAATAAAAATATATACAAGAACTACCATCTAACATTATGATGTATAGTTCTGGGCCGTTTATGAGGCTGTTCGATTAGATAGCCGTACTCCCCTATGTTTTTAATAACTTCGTGAGTGGAGGAATCACTTTTTTCGTAGAATTTGAATGTAATCTTTAGTAATTCAGCATCTAATGGTAAAATCTTTAAAGAATTATGGATGACAGTGTTCCTAACGAACCACGGAGAGTTCGAGAGGAATCTGAGAGTTTTACTCTGAAAACTTTGAAGCCTTGCTCGGTTTGAACGTGCAGTAGCTGCCGACGCCGGAGCGGCATATAGAATTATGGGTCGGATTGCCTGTAGATAAAGTGTTCTTTTAGCGTTGATATTTAACTTCGAATATTTGCACATCAGAGGGTATATGCTCATTAAGGCACTTTGTGCTTTGTCTCTGATATAATTAACATGAAATTTGAAATTTAACTTCTGGTCGAGATAAACACCTAGATATTTTACTTGGTGGTCACGTGACACGATTTGTCCGTCCATTGTAATTTTTCTTCTAAGTCTTGAGGGATATTTCCTTTTTTAAAGTAAATCACTTTTGATTTTTCGGGGTTAATTTTAATTTTCCATCCTTTAAACCAGGGTGAAATGTAATTAATGGCATTCTGTAGTTTATTTCTTGCATGGTATGGATTAAGTGAGTGACATAAAAGTGCCGTGTCATCGGCATAGCATGCAGTGAGAATATTTTCAATATTAGGAAGATCATTAATATATAAATTATAGAGAAGCGGGGAAATTACCGACCCCTGTGGTAAACCTGCGTGAATTTTTCTTGTGGTAGAATAATTATCTTGAATCTTAACTTGAAAAGTTCTGTTCTTTAAAAAATCAGCGATTAGATGGATGATGGCAGGTGGGAAATTATAGTTCATCAGCTTGATGATAAGACCGTGATGCCAAACTTTATCGAAGGCTTTCTCTACATCCATAAAAATAGCAGCAACTACTTCCTTTTTATTAAAATTTTCGCCTATGAATTCTACGATTCGGGCGATCTGCTGAGTCGTTGAGAATCCCTGGCGAAATCCAAATTGATGGTCTTTGATGATGTTATTTTCATTAATAAAAGTGGTGAGTCGAGACTCGATAAGCCTTTCGAAAAGTTTGGCAATCGCAGGCAGAAGACTGATCGGTCTAAAGTTACTTGTGAGATTTCCAGCTTTGCCAGGCTTTTTAATGACAGTTAGAATGGCGTGTTTCCAATTTTTTGGGAATGTATTAAGTCTTAAACACGATTAAAAATATTTTTAATAAGGACGATGCCTTTTCTTGGGAGGTATTGCGGGGCCTTATTAGTGATATTGTTATGGATTAAGATTCTTTATAATTTTCTGTATTTCTATGGCAGAAGTCGGGTTGTTTTGATTTTCAGGATCTTTGCAGAAGAAATCGGTCACGTGATTGATATATTGATATCATTTGAGCGTGGGAAATCATTTAAAGTAGTTGTTAAAGTAGTAACGTAGTTTTAGTGTTGTTCTTAGTTATCAGCGAAGAGGTTGGCAGTTTTCTTATGATCGTAAATTTTAGTATTATTATCATCTAGAATAGGAGTCCAATATTGTAGGGACATCATGAGTCCAATATTGTAGGGAGTGCTTCGGAGAGTTTTAGCATCTTTCCACCCAGAGTGGTCGGTGTGCGAAAGACTTTCAATGAAGTTATCCGCGTAATTGTTTCTGTACTCTTGGATAAGTTTTCTGAGGTTTCGATTGGCAGCATTAAATCTTTTTTCTTTTGTTTTAATTAAATCTTGGGTGGAGTGGGAACGTTGATAAATTTTTCTTAGTCTATTTTTCTCTGTAATTTTCTGTCTAATATTGTGTGGGAGCATACAATTAGTCTGTTTTGGAATAAATTTGGCTTCGTTGATTTTACAGTTATTAAGATAAGATAGACCGTGGCATCATGAATTTCGCTGTTATTAGTCATTTTAGTGGTAGCAGATATGTTTTCTTCAAGGTGATAAGCATAGTTTTCCCAATTAATGCGACACTTTATAGGCGGAAGACCATGCTTTAAGCCATATAAAGTGAAGCGTACTGGTAGGTGATCTGAAGAAAGTTCATTATCCACTTGGAGAAAAGGTATTTGAGGAACATTGAAGGTAATTAAGATGTCTAATACATCAGAAGTATTTGAGATTTGATGAAGATGCGTAGGTTCATCTGGACCATAAATGTTGATATCAGGGTTGTTGATGATGTAATTATTAAGAATAATTCCGCCTGGATTATTTCGCCTGGAGTTCCAGTTAGCGTGTTTACAATTTAGGTCCCCAGCAATAATAGTTGGATAACCTAAGTTGAGAATATAGTCAAGATCTTGAGTGTTGAGGCTATTGTTGGGTGGCTTATAAACAGCAATGATGAGATATTCTTTATTGTCACTGTTCAAAATACATGCACTTGCTTCAAAGCTCATAAGGGGAAGAGGAAAGATGGTACTGTTTAGGCATTTTTTCATGAGAATAGCTGTACCACCACCACGGTTATGAAGACGGTCAGATCTATAGATGTTGTAGTTGGGAATTTTAAATTTGTCATTCGGTTTGAGGTGAGCCTTAGGTGACTCAATTTTACTAGAATCGAAGAAATCAGGATACCTTGCACTGAATTGATTTGCTGGCGGATTTTTAGTACATGGGTATCTTTTGCTCTTCGATTTTTTTAATGTAGATTATTAATGTGCTCTTGAAGTTTCCCACTAACATTTTACCAATTAAATTTCCTGTAATTTCTGTTGCACCAGCTCGAGAGCCTGCTCTTTTATGTTACAAAGAATTTGAAATGCGCTGCTATCTGATTATAACAGCTTCATAAATTTATGTATCTCAAAATGATTTTAGCACCACTTCTTGAGGGCACCCTCGGATTTGTTACTTTTCGATGGAGGTTGGATCGAAGCCCAACTAGATAAGTTGCCCTTGTTGGATCTCCGTATCCAAATACGCCGGGAATGCACAAACACAGTGTACAGGCGTGGATTTTCCGTTGAAATATGATATCCGAATTTTTTTGGGATTCCATTACTTCCTTTACTTCATACAAGGAAATATTTAAATATGTCTATGAGCGTTTTTTATTTTTTTTTATCATTATTAATAACACTGCAGATGCATAAGGAGTTCAGACTACATTTTACTCAACTCGGCTTAAAGCGCGAACATTATTTGTTTATTTTTTCGTAATTGTTTATGTTATTGTCTACTACGTCTTGACAGGTCTCGTGAGTATTACTACACATAGAATTATTTTGATTTCTATTAACGTCTGTATGATCTGTGGTTTTTGGTTAATATTTTATACCTGTAATTTCTCTCCTAATAATTATGTAAATACATATTAAATCATTATTTAACTCTGGATATTGATTACATTTAGGTAATTTGTATTTCTTACGACGCACTGGAATAGTTGATTGCATGCCTTTTACTTCAGTATAGATTTAAGAAATATGCAAACTTTTGAAGTATATAGTATAATGAGTTTATATTTATTCACGATGTGGTGCTTTCATAAGTTTCTTCAATTTGAAGCATCGATTTAAAAGTTTTCCACGTTTGTAAGTGAGTTTGAGTATGTTAATGAATGTTAAAACTACAATGCGTTCATCAGCCTCAAAACTTATCATATCGAAGAGTACTGTTCAGTTGTTAACTATGTTGTGTATTTTTAAAATATATGTTAGAGTTAAATCTCTTTTGTTAATTTAATTTTTATTAGAGCATAAAATGTTGGTAATTCTTATAGAATAAAATTTGAATTAAAATTCGTGCTATGTATGAAGTATCTCATTTAATGATTTATTCGTTGAGTTAATAACGTTCTTTTTTAAAATTACGATCATGTAAAGTGATCGTGTTAGTTTTTGTCTATTAGTTTTAAAACATATTTTAAATTTTATAACAGTAAAAAAAAATTTTAATTTTATAAGAAATTGTGCGTCAGGTATGGGTAAAGTATCTAAATGGGAAATTTTCTGTATCATATTTGAAAACTCGGTTAAAAAACGGTGTAATTTGTCTGTCATATTACTGCCTCTTGTGAAAGAATGAAATGAAATAATTAATTTTGTCATATTAATAAATTATGTTAATTGAAAGAATTCTTTATATGTAATAGTTTTGTTGGCGTTTAATTCAAAAATAAAAATATTAAGTAAAAATTAGCAATCCTTGAAGAATTCAATATGAGAAAAAATTTAATCTTACCAGATTTGGCAGACATGTTAATGTTTATTAATTACAACAGTTGTGAAATTTTAATGAGAGTCTAAGTTGTATAGTTGTAAAAAGGTTGAACCATTTTAATGACTTATACTTCCTGACAGCAGTTCTCAACCTCTTTTTGGTTGATCTTTACAATATGGTAACTGGTAGTTTGGCGACATTTTGGAGGCGATAAAGGTTACTACCTGGGACTTTGGTAATAATGTGAGCAGTACTCAGTTCCGATTTTGCATGAGGGAAATGAGAGATCATGGGATATGTCATGTGATATTAATGGACAAATTACGGTTCTTTAATCGGAAAAGGGGGGAAATCGGGAAAAAATCTGGAAATTTTTATTGCGTTTAGCATTTTGTATTTAGCTTCATAGTGTGTTGTGTGAAACAGTGTTGGTTAATTTTTGGATCCCATGGCCCTAACTAAAGTGAATTCGAAATGGGTATTTAGGCATTGTGATAAAGAGAAGTTTGCTTTTTATTTAGCGGAGGAAGTATGGAGGAAAAATTCGCAGAAAAAATCTTTCAATAATTTTATTGAATGAATTAGAAAAGTGTATCCACCACGTAATCAAGATTCTGAAGAAGATTAGGTAAGTTAGTATTTTTAATTATTTGAGGATATTATTTTTATGCATTGTTCTAAATGTAAGGTGGAAAGGAATTTGGTATTATTGGGAAAATTGTTATTAGCAATGATTTAGTTTAAAGTAATTAGGATTGTAAGGTAATTTTTATTAATTTAATGTATGTGCTCATTTATATTTTAAGTAGTGTTTTTGAATTTAATTATATTTTAATGAAATGATAGTTATTTTGTGAATTTTATGTTTGTAGGAATTTGGTATACGTTTTAGTTGAAGTAAACGTGCATGGAAATAATTTAAATATCTGACACTAAGTATTTGTAATGGTTGCGGTATGAATTCGTTGGTGACATTTATAATATAATAGATGATTTAGAGGTAAAAGTTTTTGGATATCTTATTTATTTTATATGTGGAAATGTTCATATTTGGAAAGGGTAAATACTTTTTCGCGATCAGGTAATTTCATATATGTTCTTTTTACCGGGTTTAAAGATTGAGAAAATTGTCATGTATTTTCGTGAAATTTTTCTAATTTATGAGAAAAAAGCAGTGTACATGGATATAGTGAAGAGTGTGCACAATGCCATTTTTGTGCAATTCTGGGATGTTTTTTTAAGTAAAAATAAGTCGGCGTGTACATGGTTTATGTGTACGTGTTATTTTGAAAAACGCGTAAGGAGTATGGTATTGTGCACTTTTTCCCAATTTTGCAGTGAATATTTGTCATGATTAAGCAGTTTTGTTTGATAAAATTTCTAGCATAAATGTAATTCGGCTAGTAGATTTTTGGAAGAAGTGTTCAGTAGATAAAAAGAAAAGAAACATGTCTTTACTTTGTGAAGACAAAATGGCGGCGGGGGAAAAAATAGAGGGTTGCTGTAGGAGAGTTGGTTGCCAAATTTTCGCCAAAAAATCGCCAAGTTACCATAATGTAAAGATCAACCCTCTTTTTCTTTTCCATACCCCTAAATGAGACAATGTAATTATAGAGCACTCCTAATTTTTTTCCTTCAGAATGTGTGGCAACCTTCCAATATTCTTACATTTTATCTAATAGTGCTATTATTTTAATGCCTTGAAATTAATTTGTCGTGAATAAAGCCAGGACAATATAAATTTTTTTTTTTTTTTTTTTTTAGAGGATCATTTCAAGGCTGTTTTAAAGAAATTCTCTTTGAAGGGATCTGAAATTTAGCTGCTCACACTCTAAGCTTATGCTGAATGTGAGGGTTATGCGTATATGTCAAAATCACATTCCACAAAATTAGCTTTCTGGCATTATAAATGTATTGGATGTAATGCAGAATAATAAAGTATGCATAATTTTAAAATCATAAATATTGTTATAGTTGAAAGGGAAAGGAAATGGAAAAAAATATTAATTGTTTTTATTACTGCTTAATATGTGATACAATTATTACTATTTATAATATAGTAACTTTTGTTTGGGACAATGACTGACACAGCTCTTCACAGTAAGGATTACATAGTTTTTCATCATCTCTCATAAAGTGTCCTCCTCTTTCTTCATTTGGTCAGTCTCCTTTGCAAAATCAGATACTTCTTCAGATACTACCTTTTAACAATTCGTTTAAATTATTGTTAGTTACAAGCATTTGATCTTCATTATCACAGCTTTCACTGTCATCTGGTGATCATCAAATTCTTCATTTATCATTTTTCAATTAATTCTTTGACTTCTTCTTTTTCCATCCTTGCAAGATCTCTTTCAAAAGCGTGTAGCTTTCTTTCAAATATTTTTATATTGCAAAACATCCTTTCTGCCATTTCCAACCCCCCAAGCTTTGCAGTTGCTTGTTAAGTACATTGAACTGTTGTTCAATGTAAATGTTGTGTAAAATCTGTAGAAAACATACCGTTGTTAAACCAGACCATATCACCCAAGGTGCTACAAAGAAGTGGGAAGCGAAGTATGTTGCAAGTAAATAAACACTCCCCACTAAGCCAAGACCTTGCAAATTTGGCCACTTAAGCTTTTTCTTATGTGTTTAATTGGCTTGTATTTGACGACTGTTTGCCAAAATTAGCGTACTAATTAACAGCACTAACTTCCACAGAGCAGACTTCTTAACATTTTGTTCATTCGATCAAATTTTAAATGAAATTACTCAGCATACAATATAATTTATTTAGACTTGATTGTTTAAAGAACTAAGTACTGAAATAAACTTGAACTGGAAAAAATAAAAATGTGATTGATATACTATTTAAAAAAACGTTAAAACTACGGTGAAGCTTTCAGATTTTATTCTTAAAAATGGTACTTTCATTTTAATTTATGGTTATTTAATTAAATTAAATTTCATAGCAGAAAATATAAAATTGATTCACTGATATATGTTGTGACTTCTTATTATTTTAAAAGTAAAGGAACAAGCATAACATGTACAGCAAATGGCTGCATTCTGACTGTTTAGTTCAGTCTCATATTTGGTATTTCAGCATTAGGCACAGAAATTGCAATCAGCATCAATGAGTAGTTGAAGCTTTAAAGGCACTGAAAATAGTTGAAAAAAAAAATTCTAAAAGTGAATTTTGGGAGTTTGATTTGAACTCATCTATCTTGGAAGAAGGAAATTATATATGAAAAGTAAGTATACCAAAAAAGAAAAAAAAAAAAAAAAAAAAAAAAAAAATCATTTAATTAATTATGCAAAGCAGTCCAATAAAATCATGAAGCCACTCAGAAAGCTGAGTAGTAAAGTTAATAAAAATATGTTTCTAAGGGATAAGATCAACTTACCTTTCGACACATTTTTGCAAGAGCAGTGTTTCCAAAATTGCATTTCAGGTTATTAGAATTTTCATCATTGCAGAAAATGTGAAGCTCTCAAATTAGCTGTTTTCATAGGAAATTTCTTACTTTGCTCTATGTGTAATGTGAATGGTTTCCCTTAAAAGGTCCCCCACTAAGGCATCCTCCCTTTAGGCCAGTGGTCACCAAACTTCAAAAGTTTCTGAGCCTGTACCATTTTTAAATTTTTAAAGTTACTAAAACAATTTTAATTAAACTGCATATAACAAAAAGAAACTGAAATTGAGTTGTACATAAGAAAGAAATTGAAGTGTAGTTAGTAATAAATAACAAATTTAATAAGACACTTTTATCAGACTTACTAACTTAATGAGAAGGATTGAACTCTTTTTTTGCCATTAACAAGTTTTTTAGTGTTGGGAGAGTACGTAGTGGTTGCCATTCGAATATAGTTGATCAAGTATTCATCAAGGGAGTCTGTTTCTGTATTATTTTTAATAAATTTCATACTGGAAAAAGAAATTTGTCACAGATATGCAGAGCTGAACATTGCCTTCACTTTGAGATAAACTTGGACCCAAATTAGGTATTTGTCTTTAGGAATAAGAGGCCAAATATTTTCAGAGCTTGAAGAAAGTGATTTTACAGATAAATTATTTTGAAAATCAGTCACTTCCAACTCTACTGCAGCATTTCTTGAAAATCAACATGCTCCATGACACAAGTAGAGAACTTTTCAGCATCAGTCTCCATAAAAATCCAATTTGACAAATTGTACAACAGTTGAAATCCTTCTGAAATCTCAGAAGCATTTGTAAACTTCACAAATCTGAAATAATTTCAACATATTGTTTATTGTTTTAAGAAGGCGTTGAAGACCCTCTCTTTTGAAGTGTTTGCATCCACTTTGTATGATATTTTTATCCGACAGATTGAGCTTTTTGGAGAATGAAGCAACATCTGAAATTGTTCCGCCAATATCTTTATCCCCACTTTGAAGCTGCAAGTTAAGTTTATTAACATTTCGATGATGTCTGCAAGAAAAGCAAAATTCTGGTAGCCAAGCTGGATTTTCTAGTTCACGAAAGGATTACCCTTGAAATCGTTCTGCCAGTATCTATCCCTACTTTGAAGCTGCAAATTAAGTTTATTAACATTTCGATGAAATCTGTGAGAAAAGCAAAATTCTGGTAGCTAAGCCGGATTTTCTAGTTCACGAAAGGATATTTTCAGAGTTGATAAGATATTTAACAGCTAAAAATACGTTCTGTCCTGTAGAGTGTCCTATTAACGGTATACTCTTATTTTGAAATTATTAAACACCATTCTTTCAAAAATTGTACTAAGGCTGGGAGCAACCCTTGAAAATGCTCTGAAACTCTGCCTTCACTCAATCAATGAACTTCCGTATGAAGCACTAGATCACCATACTGCAGTCTAGTTCATCAGTCAGTGCTCTGAAATGGATGTACTCTAACTTGTTTAATATTTTTATGACTGTTTTCATTGCACCATATTTAAATCTTTGCACACAGTGACATGCATTGATGTATTACTCAATGGCAAGATAAATTTCGGAAAGTTATTGTCTTTACAATGCGGTGTTATGTATCCCTTCTCTCTGCCTTCCATTGCAAGAGCTCCATCAGTTTCTAAGCCCACCAACTTATTTATAGGAATATTTTCAGAGTTGATAAGATATTTAACAGCTAAAAATATGTTCTGTCCTGTAGAGTGTCCTATTAATGGTATACTCTTATTTTGAAATTATTAAACACCATTCTTGCAAAAATGGTCGACTGAGCTGTATCAACTATACCAGTCGATTCTTCGAGTTGCAGGCGAAATAGCTGCAGCAATCAAAGTCAGTTTCAAGTTGTGAATAACATCAGAACTCATAACCTTTTTATTACTGTATTTGCAGAAAGCTGTTCAGATTTAACAGCAGACATTATCTCAGTTTTATTTTTGAAACTATCACATAATGCATCTGCAGCTTCTAAAAATGCAGTTTTGGTTATTTCACCATCTTCCTGTGGTTTCTTATTGTGTGCAGTAATATTTGAATCTTGTAATGATGCCTTAGTTGCTCCTTTATTCTTATTTAATGGTTTTAAAGAAGTTTATTGATCAGCATTAAGCTTAGATTTTAGCTGTGTTACTTTTTCTTCTTTTTTAAGAGCAGAATTCAGTGGGAAATCCTTTTCATTCCATACATGAATGATTTTGAAGTGACATAATACACTTCCATAGTACAGTAAACACACACATTTATCCTTTACTGGGTAAAGAAGTAAACGGTTTCCCATTCTGAAGGAAAGTGCTAAGTTTTTTTTTGCTTGAATACACCATCATTAGAACAAACCTAGTTTAGTTCCAGTGCGTAAATCAAACTATCCAAGTTAGCAAATGTCTCATAGACACATGAAAAACATAATGCGCACAACCTCACGTGTATGCATGCAACTATGATATGAGGCTGACAATGGCAGTTGCACAGGAGAAACAAGCATTTGTTATCGTGCACACCCTCTGTTGTCAGTGTTAGCTCATTGGAGGAATCAAGGTTAGCCAACCGAAGCATTAACCCTTTAACTGTCAAGTTATTTTGATGATTTGGGTACACAAATTGTCAAATTTTTTTATTGGAAAAACCAAATGTAGCCAAAATAAACATCTCCCGATATATATTCGGGTATGACAATACGATGCACTCAAAAAAAAAAAAAAAAAAAAAATTACCCCGAGAAATACTCGGGCGTGACATTTTCGAACACCAGTGCCGAGATTATCTCGGGCATGACAGTTAAAAGGTTAAAAGGTTAACACAATCTATCGAAAATGAGCTACTAAAAGTATCCCCACAAGCTACTAGAAGCTCTTGATCGATGGTTTGACGATCACTGCTTTAGGCAGGTAGTGCTTTGCCATAAGCTATTAAGCAAATGAACTGAAAATGTGAGGCACTGATAAGTTTTTATCATAATTTGTTGCTGTTGGGTCGCAAATTTTATAATTCATCAAAATTTGCTCCGGCAAACTGGACAGCTGCATGTGGCTCACTTCGTAATAAGTATTAGTTTTATTTATGAAACTCAAAATTAAAATTTGAAGAAAATATCTTCACACTAAGATGCTTGTTTAATGTATCAGTAACTTAATGTTTTGATAACAGTATTATGTGTATAGTAATTTCAAAATGCATATAGCACGTTAAATTATCGAAGTAATAAACAGAAGACGGTAAATTTTGTTTTTGGATTCTAGAGAATTTGTTTTAAAAATAGACTTTAACTATTGAAAGGCATATATGTTGGAAATACACTCTACCAATGTATCAATATTGAATTACATCATGGATATATATAGAGTTCCAGATAGCAGTGACCAAAGAAACTGTATTTGATAATCGAATTTTTTGTGATTTAGGGTTAGGTGGGGCTAACCCTCTGTATTTTGATCATTATGTAGTTCTATGTGAAAAATTAAGCAATAGATTTTTATGCAAAACCGTAAGGTATTTTCTCCCTCCTTTATGCATGCCTTTGTGGCCTACTCGATGCACCTTCAAGATGTCCAGGCTTTGAGTCCCAGTAAGGGCATTGCACATGTTTCACGTCTCCTGCTTCAAAATCCTTATTCCCATACAAGCATTTGAAACGCATTTTCAGTGAGTAATTTGAAATTTATGCTGCCATTGTCCCCTTATTTTTATTCTTTGTATGTATTGAGAGTAAAAAGAATTCTGCTGTTTTACTTTTCAAAACACAGCAAACTCCTTAACTCGAATTAAAAAATATTTTTGTTATTATAAATATTATAGCACTTTTTTAATTCCGTTTACTATTTTTAAAATTAGTTGTGTAGCATTGTTTTCATGACTAGCTGTAAAACTGTTTAGCAAAACGGTAATTTAACTCAAACAAACTAATCAATTAGCAAAACGGTAATTTAACTCAAACAAACTAATCAATCTCGAATCCATATGAATTTTTATTTTGCAATTGTTGATTAATTTCGTGCTTGAAAGAGTGTCGAAAAACTAACTTGTATCTTTAATTTTAAATTATAATTAATTTTAAACATGATCAAATTCATATGAACTGTATTTCACTGTTATTTGATTGCTCTATTGAAGAAAAAAGTGGTGTTCATTAATACGCCAAGTTTAGCTAGTTATCGCCAGATGTGAACCAAACTAAAGAAATCTAGCATTCAGGGATCTTAAGTGGGAAGTTCTTTAAACTCCTATCATGGGAGAATTTTTGGCTAAAAATCCACTATTTTTCCATTAGGCTCAACTTAGAATCTTTGCCATAATACATTCTTCTTAGAGGTATGTAAATGTTCTAATCTGCTGTTATATTTTCTAGAATTAAGACTGTAAAAAGGAAAAAAAAATGGCTTTGAATGATCCAGATTGCTGTGCTCCTCCTCCACCAGTTGAAGAAGTTCAAAATCCAAGGGCTAAACTTATTTCATCCATAAAGAGTGCCCTCTTTATCTTGAGCTCAGCCCTCATAATTTTTGTAGCTTTTAGTAATACTTTAACTTGGTGAGTTTTTCTGTTTTATGTAATCTGTATTTAAATGCAGTCATTTTAAATGCATAACTTTTATATATCAGTGTGTCATAAATGTTATAAAATTTTAAAGTACTTGAGTATAAACTAGCATCTGCTGATATACCACTAATATTACCACCCACAATTCTATTAGCATTGCAGCAACCGTAGAAGCTGTACTGAAATCTAAATTCTCTTTCTCTGCCTCTGTTTCTCTGTAGTTATTTTTTGGGGAGGGGGCGGCTAAGGCAAGGAGGAAATGGCTTTTTTTTTTTTTTTTTTTAAATTTCATTGTTTATTTTAAACAAGTTAAAGTAAGTGCATATCTTTCTTCACTGCATCATTTCTCGCTAACTCTTTTCCTATAAAATGCTCTGGAGATAATTTTTTTTTCTTTGTCTTTCATTAATTTTTAATGTATTTTGCATAATGTGTCAGCCATTAAATGAAGCAGAAACAATCCACTATTTTCAGACATGGGGCATTTTTTTTTTTTTTTAATATAAAAAATTACGAGGTCTCCAGTTGTCATGCAGTGAAACTATGTGACAGAAAACATGTAATGGAAATGCTGACAACTGCTGATAAATTGTTACAATAAGAACTAGTAACTGATTTATGAGAAGTCACTAATATTTTTAATCAGAAGAGTTCATATTTAGACTGTGACAAGGTATAGAGAATAAAAATCCACTTAATGCAATTTGAATGCGATTGCCAAACAGTACATGCCTAAAACAAAAACCTATTTAATCGGTCTATTGATGTCAAAAGTATATCTCATTGCTAAAATATGCCAGTAGATTGTTAATGGTGTATTGACAGATATTAATTAATATTGAAAGGCTATTTTAAATTATATTTGTATTTCCCAATACAAATTGTATTGCACATTAATGCCGACTTTCTGTTTTATTATTCAGGCATCTTCAACACTTTTGGGGTGCTTCAGGTGATTTTTGGCAAAGCCAGTGGAATAAAATATGTCATTTATTTGGTTCAGATAAATATGTCATGGGTGTTTGGGGTAAGTACTGCATTATAATCAGGAACTGTCTTCTTTAACTTTATAAAAATTGAAATATTTTTACATCTTTTTAATGTTTTTATATTTAATAAGTATGAAAGTTTTATTATTTGCATACTCCTGCAGTGAAACATATATGTAAACCTACATCCACTCTCAGTGACACTGATGCCATTGTGATGATGTGTTAAATTAGCTCAGTCTATCACCAGGAAGGTACTACCATTTGAGTCTCAGAATGGATAACTGTAAATGAAACTTTAAGAGAATAATTTCAGAAATATTAGCACCAGAAGTCGTAGGGCAAAAATGGTCTTGAAGTTAATAATTGCATATAATTAAAATAAGTGCTGCTGTGTGTTAAAATGTTTGCTTTAAAACAAAATATAGTTATGAGAACTTAACTGTAAGCAGATAAAAGTTAAAGAAATTATAAAAACAGTGCTTGAATATAAAAATAAATTGTACTCTTCTGTTATTGGGATGTGTTATTAAGGTGTTTACTTAGTGATGAAATATGATTTAATTACATATCTGAAAAAATAAGAGCTTTTTCATTTTTATCATATTTAGCTGGTACATTCTGATTAAGTGTATGCCATCTTGTGGGCTTTAATCTGATGGCCATTTGACTGTGGTTACGTTAATGCTAATCGTCCAACATCTTATTATAGCTATATGTTCTGTAACAGCATATGCAAGAATCTACTATTCAGTGTCTATATAATAGATGCTAATACATTATTTAATAGAATCTCTTGTAATGATATTTGAGTGGTAGAGAACTAGTTTACAGTAGCATCCATAACTTATAATCAAGTTAAAAATTTTATATAACAAAGAAAAAATTAACTTGTAAGCATATTTGAAATTTCAGTAGCTTGTTATCATACGAGAAAATTAAATAAAAAGTATACAGTCAAAAGTCGTTAATTCAGACACCTATAATCCGGACCTCAAAGCTAAAAACTTTCTGGGCATGCGCTTCATTGACACATGTGCATAGGCGTTTACGCGTGTGCATAAGACTTTTTACGACTGCGCATATGCGTGTGCGCATGTGCAGAGTACGTTTTTGCGTGCGCGTTTTATGTATAATGGACGGTATAAGCTAAAATTATCTAATTATCTATTTCAGTTAATGTTGATGATTGCGTTGTTCCTTAATTTTTGAACTGGATCCGGCTTATTATTTTTTGCAGACTGTAAGGGCAGTACTATAAAAGTAAACTTGAACTTTTGATTATGTCAAACAGAATTTCCGATTCTGGAGCTCCCAAAGGATCGTACAAAACGAAAGTATGTTTCGATGTCCAACAAACAAAAAGTGGAATTGCTGCAAAAAATGGATAAAGACATGAAGAATGTGACAAAGAGGTTAGTGAAAACGAAAAAATTTCGATTGACAAGTTAGTCGGTATTCTCGGCACAGCAATTAACGGGACTTGAACAGCGGAACTTTGTAACTGAACAAGAAATTATGTCTGTTTATAGAATTAAAGAGAAAGTATTATCACATAAAACGAAGCAACTGAAACAACTTACATTGAAAGAAATGTTTAATAATGTAAATAAATAAATATTAAGCTTTTTTTTTTTTTTGGTAAATTTTGATACCCTTTAGATCATAATTGTTCTTTATTTCATAAATTGCGGTTTCATATTTTTAATTTTAGAATTTTTGCATGCCATCTTACGAGATTTAAAGTGATGATCTATAATCCAGAAAAATCGATAATCCGGAATCGCTGAAGTCCCGACGAGTCTGGATTAACGACTTTTGACTGTATTAACAAAGATGATAAAAAATGATAAGTAAATTTAAAATGCACAAATGTAGATACCGGTCTTTCTCTGCTTTCTGATTACATAATAATTTATTTGAATTGCAGCACAGATGAGAGTAGTTTAATATTGATTTGAGAGTAAACATGAATAATGTGAAATATCATGGAATTTTTTTTTAAATTCAAGTAATGAAAATGTTAATTTGCACTAAAAGTCTTGTAACTTCAAAATAGTTTTAATATGCATGCTGATGTAATCATTTTTATTCAAAAGAATATTTGCATATTTGGAAAGATCCATCATGGTACCAAGAGGAAGCTTCAAAATATTAAATAACAAAAAATTCACAGTTGAGTTATGTTTCTGAAAATAAGAGATAAGGGGAAAAGTGGAGAGCTGAGAGTGGTGTGGAAATCAAAGATATCATGTTTTAACTGATCTGGATAAATTTATAACAAAAATTTGTAATTACATGATTTTTATTTAATCTTTTGATCTTATGACAACTGAAATAAAACATTAGTTAGCCACTGATCTTGAAAACTCAGAATATTAGAACAATTAACTGTGAAGCATTTCATAAATTATGGAAGCAAATTGAATAGGAAAATACAAGGAGTGAAAATCAACCACACTGAGCCAAAAAGATGCCAAATTTCAAGACAACTTTTAGCCAATATCAGTGTACACTTATATTATATCATCTTATTTAATTATATTATGCAGATTTCCTAATTCAGAAGTAAGCAAGTATCTTTTCACTGTTTTTCTGTCAGTGTTCTAGTATGGTTTACTATACTTTTCAGTTCTATTTATTTTGCTCTTGTCCTGTTAACTAAATAATTTTATCACTTGAAGGAATTATTTGGTTAAAAGTTCCTGTCATATAAAGCAAAATTTCGAGAATGATTAGCATTTATATATTGTAAGCCACGTGTCATATACTGTCTTTGTAATTGTGTAATTTTAAATTAAATATAGGTAAGGAAATTGATATATAAATTGGACATGCATAAAAATGTATCTTAAAGTATTTTGTGTTATGGCTTGAAGTAAAAATTAAATTTTGAGTTTGAAAGAAGTTCAGTGAAACTTTGGCTCACAAATTTATTTCATTTCTAAAGCCTTTTTTTTCGTCTGAAAATTTCAACCTAACTATTTTCCGCATGGGAGTTAATGTAAAATGGGATAATCTGTTCTTGGACTACAAATGATTGCTTATTTAAACTTTACAATACTTAGTGCACAAATTCATAGCACAAAACTAATGGAAATAATTAAAAATCTAAGAAAAAAAAAAGACAAACATAAAATTAAATGGATAAAATAGATGAAAATTTTATTTTATTTTGTTATAATTATACAAAGGGGAGTGAATGGCAGTAAGGATAAAAGGATCATGAAGACAAAAGTAAGATATGTCACTGTTTGAATGAGGTGTTCCTATCCATAAAAACATAAGGTAATTGGCTTCCTGGAGCATCTTTCATCTTTCTTTGTCTCATAGTAACTCTTGATCACTGGTTGGGATTTGCTGGCTCTCCATTTCACTCAAAATTTGTCCTACATGATTTTTTGCTGTTCATATTTTAATATGTCTGTAGAATGAGATATGGCATTATCATTGAAAAAGCTTATGCTATATTGCTACTGGTTTATTTATGAAATGTAAAAACTTTGTGTCTTGCCCCATTTTGAAATATTTTGCAGGTCAGAGAACTAAAATAATATTTTCTTCCTTTCCTTTCCTCTTAAGACATTTCCTTCACAGTCGCTGTTTGTTGCTGTTTCCGAAGCCCTTTGGAGTTATGTCTTTTTAAGGTAATTTTTATGGTCCTCTAGTAACTCCACCAGATGTGTTCATTGTTAACTTCCAAACCTGAGTCTAATGACCCTGTACCATAAACAGTAAAAGTATTCAAAATGAGCTTTCAGAATCTGTGCGTGCAACACAATATGACCATAATTTCCTTCAGTTAGTTCCAAATCTTTTACTGATCACTCGTATTCCTACTGAAAAGTTCCAAAGAAGTTTGTTGTGTCACGAAAATGTATGTGTGATCTTTGCCTAATAGTTGCATGGCAACTTATGATGTCAACGAAATATATTTATGTGGCAACCCAGGCAGCACATGTCTGTTTCTGGCGGTGTGCACTGTCGATGTTGTATGATGCCAAGCTTGTGCAGTTCTCTGATTTTAAGTAAAAACAGATCACTGTTTAGATGGGGAAAAGAACAGCATATAAAAAGAGGATTTCTCGAAAAAATTAAAAGCTTTATTTTTAAAGCTTTATTTTCTTTCTTTTTTTTTTTTTCTTCCAGTTTTCTTGATTGATTGCTTTTGTAGAGTTCTTAGTGTGCTGCCATTTAGTGCTTTAAAATGGCTATTGCCTTTTGCACATAAGCTTGGGAAAAATGAATCACAAGCGAGTTTACGAAGGCTGTTTAAAGTCAACAATGAATTTGAAATTTTTCCTCTCATGTATATTCATAATGTGTGCTGTCATTATTGCACAGATGCAATTAGGGTATACTAGCAACTTGGAGAGTTGACGTTTTGACATAGCAGTCATTGCCTTTGTTAATGTGTCATTATTTAGAAAGGAAAAAATGTCGTTGAAGTGCCTGTTCTAAAGAAGCACACTGTAGTTAATGGTCCTGTCAATCCCTTGCTGCCAGGCTGTATTAACTTTCTGAGTGTTATGACCGGCCTTGTCCAGTCATCAGAAGTTTTGCTACTTGGCATATATTAGCTTATAATTTAAGTATTTTGCTTTCTTACTTTCTTTAATAATGTAAATATCATCTTAATGAATATACATTCATGAAAATACAGACTAAAATAAGTAATTTACAAATTCAATTAATAAATGCTGTTTAAATACTGGTCTTTATGACAGATCTAAAATCCTGTGGCGCTCAGAGGGTTAATGAGAGCTAGGCAATGGAAAATAGTAAGGTGATATTTCCAAAAGTCCCTGAGTATTAGTTCTGTGCCACAGGTTACCTTAAAGCACCTCTGAAAAGGATTTGTTGCCTACTTGAATGTTCGTAACTCTGGACGCTGTTTATCATGCAAGGCATATTTTGTTCAGATAATTTCGTCAGAAACCAAATTGTTTGTAATTAGAGGAATTTGCAATCTGAGTTTTCAGTATAGATGAAAAACTTGATTCTTAATTCTTTTTTATGCAAATTCCAGTCTTCGGTTGTTACAGTATTGTCTTGTAGCCATATTAAATTTTTATCTAGGCATGTAAAATATATACAAAAGCATGAGGAATTTGTAATTGATCATTGAAATTATCATCACATTTTTATTCATGAATAATGCCTATGAGAGGAAGAAACATAAAGTACTTTCCTGTTGATATTGCCAAACTTATGCTAGTAATCAGGCTGAATCAATCTGGCTTTATTTAGTTAGCTAATGGAGAAATACAAGTTACAGATATAGAATGTAATTTTAGAGTTCTAAAAAAAGCTACATTTTTATTACAGTTTATCATGTTGTAGTACCATTTTTTATTTGCTTTCAAATAAATTCCCATATTGTGCTCATTAATACACACTATCTTGATGTCAAGATTCTGTAACTTTGAAAATACTCCAGTGCATGCTGTTCTGCAGAATACATGTTCTAAATTCTGATTATATTTTCAAAATGTAAAGGGGGGATACAAAGACATAGCAGTTGGCTTCCATTTTTCTTTACAAAAACAAAATTGGCTTGTGAAGGAACCTCACCGAAACTAGTCCTGTGAAAATTTTGAAAATATAACGCTGATTTTTGTTGTTTGACTTCTGGATTAGTATTTGTTCCACGTGTTATTGTGTCTTAATTAGTCTGTTCTCCTGGAAACAATGTACTGCTAACAAAGATGTAAAATGATCTGTTGGAAGAAACATATATTTAAACCCATTTTTAATTAAAAACTTAAGTCACTGTCATTTTTCCCTCTTGAGTTTTTTATTATCTAGTCAGTTGTTTGGTCTATGCAGAATGAATTAAATGAAGGCTTTATTGCAGCTAGAAGTAATGAGATATATGTGTTTCTTCTTTTGTTGATTTGAGAATGAAATGCTATTTCATAATCGCATATGAGAAATCAAATGTGTCATGTTTTATCTTCATTTTCTGTAAATTAGGTATTTTTCTAATGATCTCTATTAGACTGATAACTATGTAATAACATAGAATTAAAAATACCTACAAAACTTTTTCTGAATCCCATTGAATTAATTAGTGTAATAGACTATTTATGCAGTAGTTATGTTTTTGACAAATAGAAATTTAAAATACCATTTTCAATTTCTGTCTTTATGTGAAAGTAATAATCAGAATGATGAGAAATAGTGCCTCAGTTATATAAAATGCAATGTTTGTATTCCTAAGATTGTAAAATGTCTGTTAGTTATTTTTTATTTTCAAGTTATAGAGCAAAGATATAAAAATATTTGCTTTTGTTAATACAGGTACATTTTTAGTGACTTTCTTTGTGTACTGGTGTGTTGGATTGTGTTACACTGTAATTGACTTGACTGGAAAACCAGCATTTGCACTTCGTTATAAGATTCAAGATAATGTTTCATATCCAGTAAGTGTATTTTGAAATATGTATAGAAATACACTATATTTTTATGTTATGTGCACATTGTAACTCTGCTGTGGATCCCAAGACATTGTGGAATCACAGTTAATGCATTTGCTGATACTCTGGCAAGGCTGGATCTGCCCTTCCTGAACCCCATCATCCTGTTTGCTATCAAAGTGCTAAGAGAATCATTGGAACCAGATGTGCAGCTCATCTTCAAGAGAGGATTGGGGACTGTGTGAAGGGGAAGATTGAGGTTTCCTAATGGAGAATCCCATTCCGTGTGACCTACCGATACCTGCGACAAAGACATAGCAGTTGACTTCCATTTTCTTTACAGAAACAAAATTGGCTTGTGAAGGATTCATTCAGATTACATGAAACTAAGGTGTGTTAGTGTGTTATGAGTTTATCTGGAACTGGCACTGAATCACACTGTTTAGGGTTAGTTTTTATTTATCAAAAATGGTCAAGAAGAATATACATAAATAGTAAATGTAATTGTAATACTTTTGTATGAGAGAATTAAACATTATGATCAGACAAAATTAAAAGTTACTTTAGATTAAAAATTGGACATGACTGCCTCATGAAACACCTACACAGATTTGCTTTGGCAGATTCTCCATCTTGCCCATTATGTCATGTTGATGACATGTGTGGTGACTATTTGGACACTTGTTCTGGATCTAATGAGATGGCAGCAGCTAACACTGTCAAAAATTATTGTAATTTTTTAATGTTTCTAAAATGTATTGGGCTGTCTGTCACTGACTAATGTTGGTCATGCCTAGATCTGGCATAGGATAAAAGAAATTTTATGTGGAAGTCAAGAATATTTATTTTTATATGGAGATAAAGTTGGGACTGTTGAAGTTTGGGAGCAGCATACATATGAGTTCAAAACTATTTACAAATATTCTTTGATCACAAAAATTATATATAAGTTAAATAATTGAAAAAGTATTATTTTTATTTTATTTTTTGGTAATTTAAAATTTCCAATATTTGACTCTTTATTCCTAACCTCTGTAATCTTTGCTTGAGGTAATTCCAGATGAGTATTATGATGTACTGTTTCACTATCACATAATTGGCACAGTAGTCACCTCTCCCAGTTTTTCATTACAACTCCAAATTTTCAATATTTTTCCTTTACTAAGAAAAATGTTTCACAACAATAAATGAAATTTCTTGAATTAATGAAATTTAAAACTGTGCAAATTTCATTCTCTACTACTTAGTATTTTTCAGCATAATGTTTCTTATTAACCCTCTCGCTGCGCATCCCGTGATTTCCGCGGGCAACGTAAAAGTAGCAAAATTTTTGCACCCGCGATTTCCACGTGGATGAATTTTTGTCGTTTATTTAACTATGCAACACGTTCTTTCCTCGTTCAAGATTTCCTGTCGGCTTTTCTGTGATGTTTAATTGTTTATTGAGATGTTGACTAACAGATGCTGTTAGAAGTCCACATTTCTGCCAAATATACAAAAATACGTAATACAGTAAAAAGTCGTTAATCCAGACTCGTCGGGACTTCGGCGATTCCGGATTATTGATTTTTCCGGATTATAGATCATCAATTTAAATCTTGTAAGATGGCATGCAGAAATTCTAAAATTAAAAATTTGAAACTGTAATTTATGAAATAAAGAACAATTATAATCTAAAGGGTATCAAAATTTACAAAAAAAAAGCTTAATATTTATTTGTTTACTTTATTAAACATTTCTTTCAATGTAAGTTGTTTAAGTTGCTTTCGTTTTATGTGATAATACTTTCTCTTTAATTCTATAAACAGACATAATTTCTTGTTCAGTTACAAAGTTTCCGCCGTTCAAGTTCTGTAATTGCTGTGCCGAGAATGCCGACTAACTTGTCAATTGAAATTTTTTTTCGTTTTCACTAACCTCTCTGTCACCTCCTTCATGTCTTTATCCATTTTTTGCAGCAATTCCACTTTTTGTTTGACGGACATCGAAACATACTTTCATTTTGTAGATCCCTTGAGAGCTCCAGCATTGGAAATTCTATTTGACATAATCGAAAGTTCAAGTTTGTGTCAACGCGGCGCATGCGCAGAAAGTTTTTAGCTTTGAGGTCCGGATTATAGATCATTTCGGATTATGGGTGTCCGAATTAACGACTTTTGACTGTATAGCATTTTGCGCATGCTTTTCAGAGTTCAGAGATGTCTAGCAGGAAGCATTTCATGAGTGATTCCTGATGATATTTCCAACACTGTTAGTAGTTCTGACTCTGATTTCAGGTACATTGAAGGTAGTTATAGCGAAACTGATGAGAATTTCTCGGATTCCTCTGAAGATAGTGATAAATCTGAAAATTCAATTTCTATTGAAAACGTTCGACAGTAGTGCAAAATTGATATGCAAAATATTACATTATGCAAATATTTTCATTAGTATACATGTTTTATCTTTGTATTTTAAAAAGTAATCAAAATTTAGGCAATATTAATTTAAAGAATTTTCCTTTTATATCATTATTCTTCAATTTAAGTATTCTGACAACCTTTTTCTATAATCTAATTCTATATTGAAAAAAAAAAAAAAAAAAAAAAACACTTTTACAATAAATTTTTGCATATTTTAACTCTAAAATATATGTAGGTTTGAAATCTGTAATAAAAAAATACACAATTTTTGAACCTATTTTGATAAAAAAAAAAAAAGTATGCAGCGAGAGGGTTAACCCTTTGACCAGCACTGGATTTTGCTGAGAAAGCCCACATTTTCCAAAATTGCCACAAGAAAGAGATATTGTCTTGATTTTAATAATGCCAAATTGCCCCTGGTACTTTATACCTGGGTATATGTATTTTTAATATATTGCCTTAATTTTTTTCACATATTTCAACATGCATGCATATATCCTTTCTTAAAGATGTCATAAAAATATTCTAGGCCATATATGCCTAGAATATACTGGATAGAGGGTTAAAAATTTAATTTGATCTGAATTATCTTGATGTGTAGATATTTGTAAAGAATTTTATAAACAAATATTTAATCCATTACTACATGTATTTAATGTTGTTTTATATCTAATGCAGTAGTACATTTGTAAGGCATTTGCTTCTTCATTACTGCTTGCCTTTGTGTTGTAACTGGAAACTAAAGATGGACAAAACCTTCTTTAAGGGATCAGATCGGAACCATTCTCTCACTGAAGTGAATCAGTTCTTTTTAACGATTCACCACTCACTAGCAGTGATGTTGATGAATTTGTTTGGAACAGGCATGGATCAAGAGTGTTGTGCAAAGATGGAAGAAAAGCAGAAAGAATTGAACAAGGAGTGTAATTGCTAGAACCCACTCTACCAAACCGCTCATTCCCTGGACTGGTTTCTTTCAACTATACAATGAGATTCTTTAAAATAAAACCAATTCTGGAATAAAAAAGTGCTGAAAATTAAAAAATAATGAAAACTAAACTCACTTTTGTTAAAAATTACATTATTTTATTACTATAATTGATATTTTGTCTCTACTACAAAACATAGGGTAAAAATAAATTTTTAGATTGGAGTCAGATACGTTACTGCATTTGTATATTTCCTGCTCTGAAATAAACTTAGTGACTACACATTGCTTAGTGCATCCGTAGGGGTTTTTTTTTTTTTTTTTTTTATTTTATTTGTTTATATATATATATATATATATAAGTAAATGCATTTCTTCTCTTCTCAAGGATTTTCTCAGTATAAAAGTGGAAGAAATTATGGTATTTATATATTATCCTGTCGACTGTGAAAGCTGGCAAAGATCCTGCTATATTGCATTTCTGCAATATTCTGAAAGAACTCTTGCCACTTTATTTGATATACAATCAATATTCAACCTGCTTCATTTTTGTGCTTTGTAAAACGGCTTTTGTTTATTTCAACGATTTTGTTAAGTCGTCTGATTTTACCTGAAGTTCTATTTAAAACACTATGAACACAAATTTCCTGCAGGTAATTGGTCCAATCTATTACTGTTTTGCCAGTCATATTCAGCTAACCATTGTGTTCATTAATACATAGTACAGTAGGATCATAGAACTTTGAAAATTATCTTCTGCTTGGTGTTTTGCAGAAGGCAGGTCCCACATTTTAATTAATTTTTCAAAATTCAAGAAAAAATATAGCAGTAAAAGTTAATTTATCTTCTTATTCATGAAAGCAAAAAATTTGTCTCATTGAGATTCATTTGGATTACATCAGATGAAAGTGCAGATGTTAGGAGTGTGAAGTTACGTCACCCTAATCCATAATTACTGTTAAGTTGTATTGTTTTGTGACAGTTGTACTGAAATTACAAAATGAATTTAGAAAAAAAGCAAAAAATGGATGAGGCATACATTAAAAACTTGTGATTATTCAAATCCAATGCTCTTAACAGTGTTTGAAGAATTTAATAAACAACAAATGATTTTTTTAAAAAAAATTTGAAATAGAGGAATGAAAATGTGTTCTTTACAATGAAAATGTCATTTTCTCTTGTGTTATGATTGGTCCTTTACAATGCTCTTCTTTACAAATGTTTTAAACCGGTGTTTTTCATCATATGCGTATCATTCTAGCACCATTTATAGTTTTTCATTGTGCTGATCTATTTGTACAGGGAAAACGGTGTTGCCATCAAAAATTCCGGAATATTCACTGCAACCACAACTGTGAAAAATAAATTCTTTTAAATTATCACAATGTTAAGCACATATCTTGAAATAACAATATCTAAAATTTCATTTCAATTTGTTGAGCGTATAGGCCACTAGAGATTCATAGATCGGGAAATTTTTTTAATGACCTGGCTGTAATGCAGATAGTTAAATTTTCTTTTTATTTGATATAGTATTATATATCTATCATCATCAGTTAAATGGTTCGTCATGTTTTAAGTGTTCTGAATTGCTTGATATGGTAAGTTGTTGAAGAATTTTTTACTGCCACTAAATATGTTACTTAGATCAGTTTCAATTCACTTATGTCAATAATTTCTACTTCTCTTTCTGCAGGTCTCCCTTAACCAAGTTTTGAGAGTTGTTCATCAGGTGCTAATTAACCAAATCCTGATAGGAATTCCCTTTGGTATATTTGCATACTATCTAATGGTATGGAGAGGATATAATTCTGAAAAAACCTTGCCTACATTTCAGTGGGTATTATTTGAGCTTATATTTTGTGTGCTGATGGAAGAAGCTGGCTTTTACTATTCTCACAGGTTTGTGTTATATTAATATTCAGTGTCTTATTATAAAATGGATTCTAAATTTTTATTAATCAATAGAATAAATTAAGATAAGTATTTTATTGCAAGCCAAAATTTTACTTGAATGATACCAGTTGTTCAAATTATTTTCTGTTGCAAAAATATAATATTACACGATATTTTTATAATAAAATTTTTGTGTTTGGTAAAGTTTAAAATAAAACTTTTATGTTTTTAGATAAATTATCAGACTGTTATTCCATTCATGAATTATACTACAAAATTGTTTTTAGTTTAAGTACAGGGTACTAATCATTTTAAGTAGATTCATCATACACATACATATAAATAATACATTCATGCACATTTTCCTGCTTGCAGCCTTTTTCCTTTCCAAATTTCACTCATTTTGCATGCATTTCTTTTAATTTCATTCATTTTGCATATATATGAAATAGACTTATTCATTGCACAGTATACAAACAAACTAAATAAATACCTAGTGGGACTGATGTCTGAAAGCTATAGATGAATACATCATTTACACATGTTAACAACCTGAGCTCAAAATTAATTTTGAAAGACAGTGAAATATGCACCTGAAAGTAATTATTTATCTGAAACAAAAAGTTTGCAGGGATTCAAAATCCATATTTACTATAAATAGAGAGTACTAATGTGTGTACATAATATGCAAAATAAATTATATAATTAAGTGAATGAATTCCTTCAATCAAAGTATGATATAAATCTACTGTAACTCGAGTTATGTAAATAATGCTTTCCATTGTGGTAGACCACACAGAGGTGAGAAAATCATATGTGCTGTCCCCGCAAGTGATTGTTTCCAAGCTTTTATGATGTGCCAGACAACACAGTCTGACACTGCAGATGTAGTAATTCTCTCCAGTTGACAGTGCAAGAGACATAACTTCACGACTAGTGTCAAGAAATGTTAGCCTTCTGCACCATGGCTGTCGTCAAAACCTCTCGATTTTATTAGGGCTGATGAACCAATGATTTTGTTTTTCCTTGATATCATTCCAGCTATAACGAATCAGAGGATGTGAAATACAACAGAAAAATTAAAGAGGCTTGGCAAAATCAGTCTAAAGATTTTTTCCATTGGAACAAATTGGATTTTTTCCATTGGAATTTTTTCCACAGAAGGCCCCTGAACTGTTAAACAGGGAGACCTAGAATGTTATTGAGCTCTCATTTAGAGAGACCTTCGTTAGCAGGCTCCTCACGCTATTTCAATAACTGTCGATACTATCCATAAATTATATATATATTTGTAAAGAGCTTTTCATAATTGTAGTAAATATGTTTTGAGTTTAAAATGCAGTAAGAATTACCCAACCTCACAGTATACCAATCATAATAAGGAGTCAGATGCGCTACCTGCTGCCACTCAACAGAGCAGTTACCCACAGTAGTGACCCCCCCCCCTCCAGTGGTGACCCGAGTATGTGGCAGACCACACAGAGATTAGAAAATTTTCTGTGTGGTCCAGTAGTGATCAATCCCTACTGTAAAACCTTTACATAACTTGAATATGGAAGTTGCATAAGTGTAAATTCATAAGAAAGTGCAATAATTACATAGTATTTTATAAATTAACTGTTTGAATATTGTTTAAATGCCAAAAATATGGATCAAGAAAGGAAAAATTATTTACAGAGACCCTATTTTGAATTGGTAAGTTTCAGTTAGAATGTTATGATTTTTGTGTGCATACATAATTGGGAATTTATGGAAGTCGCATTTTATGTAAGTTGGCAGTTACTGTAATGTACTTTTGTTAAAGGGTTTATTTTTGTTTAATAAATAATTGCCATTGAATTTACCATGCTAAATTTTCTAAAAATGAACATTTCATTTAGTTACATCAGAAAATAATCACAGAGTACAGGCATTTGCAAGTTAAGCAGTCATGGATTATTGAATCCTATTGTTTATTTCTCTTATGAGTGTAAAGGATTGTGTTATTTAATTTAAGAAAAATGAGCAATGACTCTGAAAACACTTTAAGAGATGGAATCGAAGTGCCTTGTACCACTTTTCTCTACCACTAATTTTTGTCAGTACTTCAATAGTTTTAGGGATACATTAAACATAACTTTTAATTTACAATCTAATACCCCAAAAATGACTGGAATTATTTTTGAGCAACTGTGTTGTGTCTCACACCTATGTATTTTAGCTTCTTCGGAGTCTTCAAGAAAAGAAGCATTTTTCCCAATGTTTTAACCACTACTCAAGACATGGAAAAAGTCCTGGAACTCATAATATGGAATATTAAAAGGCAAGCAACATAATTTTTAACATCTCATCTGTGTCACTGAATTGCCTTTTACCTATTGAATTATCTTTTGAGAGCTTTTGTTATCTGCTAAAAAAGATGTTGCACTGAGCAAAAAAGGATTTGGTGAGTACTGTGAGTGAGAGCACCATATTATTCTTCCTCAAAAATTCTCAGATAGAGAGTTTCTTTAGTCTTTGGTCTTTCAGTATCTTCATTAGTAGCCCATTACAGTTTCTCAATATTTTTTGTTTCTGTTCATCACTAGATATCCAAATTTTAGCAGTCTTCATTTAATATGATGCCATTTCTGAACCTGGAAAACAAGTCATTCACATGTTTTTTACATTAAAGGAAATTAAAGGTGTGATAGTATATAACAATGGTAATTTCATGCACACTCTATACTCTTTTTGGTCGCTGTCATAAAAATGGCAACATGCTGTCAAGGAACACACACAGCTCATCCCCAAGGAAAAACCTCTGTTCTCAAATTGGTGCTACTTGGCAGATAGGTATGTAAAATCGTAAGTTAATAAGGCCTAATGGTGCAATCCACAATCACAAAATGATAGCTTGCAACATTGTCATTCCAGTTGTTAATGGGTGTCTTTATGTAATTTTCATCTGGAAAATATTGTATAATTTGATAGATGAATATGTGATGTTCATTTTTATTCTTAGTCATAACAATTTAATTTACTTACTGTGAAACTTTTTCTCTAGACTTTTACATCATCCTCGAATTTACAAGTATATTCACAAGCGTCACCATGAATGGACTTCTCCTATTGCTATTACAGCTATTTATTGTCATCCTGTAGAGCATATTTTTTCCAATTTAGTGCCACCATTACTTGGGCCATTGGTATTAGGTAGCCACACTGCTACCTCATGGTTATGGTTTGCTATTGCTATCTTGTCAACCTTAAATGCACATTCTGGCTTCCACTTTCCTTTCTTCCCATCTCCAGAAGCTCATGATTTTCATCATTTAAAGTATGCATTTTATATGTTTATCTCAAATTAATAGTATTAAAATTTTAACAAAATTTTTTATTTGTGGTATGTTTCTGTCCGAAAATGTTTTATTTTCATTTTATTTATTTGTTGTAAGCAGAAAAACTACAGTACAAAGTCCAAAATCCTGACATCCACTATCCAGAATGATCTAAAATCCACACCTCTGGTCCACCAGCAACTTTTTTTTTTTTAAGAATTCTTTTGTATGCTTTATGCATGTGCATTTGGTATTTGTTCATAATAAAACATTTGGAGAATCCTAATTATTAATTTCACTTTGGCACTAAATAAAATGCCTCTGTGCCAAAGAAAAAAATCATTTATTAGCATAAATCTATATGGTCAATAATTTAATTCTGTAGCTGCATCTTTGCTTGGCATACATCTCAAACCGAATCATCTTACATGGGAACGAGTTTAGAGTAATTGAATAATTAAGTTTTTCCCTGATACCAACCTGGCAAATAATTTTTTATTATTTTCTGCTTTCATCACCGCATGGCAGCTTGAGAAATAACTTATGCAGAGATGTATAAACATTTAAAAAAAAATGTTAGGGATTGAATACCAAAGAGCATGGTAACCTTTTATGTTAACATTACACTTGGCGATGATTACATGCTATTAAATGTTTACAAGGAGAAATTTAACAAAAAATTCTTTCTGTGTGCAAAATAACAGGTTTTTGTAATTGATAGTCATAGGCCAAAAGATAACATTTTGTGCTGTTTGAATTAATAATAACGGATTTGTTGTTCAGGTAAGTCGTAAGTATAGGTGTGAATTTATTTATTGATGACTCAGATAAGCATCAAGCATATGTGGGAAATAGAGGTAAGTATAATAAGTAATGAAGCTAATGCTCATAATTCCAGCCTAACTTCCTCAGTAGATAGCAATAGAAGAAAGATATAATAGAAGTAAGAGAAAATTTAGTGAACAACATGTCTCTAGTCACCATCTCATGATACATTGTCAATAGTGTACAGCAGAAGCTAGCTAAGCGTTATGATGATATAGCCATAAATACCATAAATTTGAAGGTTTCTGGATATTGCAAACAAAAGGCAACATTTTTCAATTAATGGAACTTGTGAAGAAATGCGGAGAAGTGCTAATAAGTGAAAATGATGTAACACATGTTTCTTGATGCGATGACTGTGCTACAATCATCAATCGACTAAATCACGAAATGACGGTGGAATCTGTAATATGATTGGTTCTAAATCCAGGAAATATTGCTACCAATAGTGAAGAAAGTGACAGGTTGTTGAGAATGAAAAATTTCAATTGACAATTTATGGGAATTCTTGACACAACAATAACAGGACTTGAACATTGAACTTTGCAGCTGAACAAGAAATTTTGTCTATCTGTAAAACTAAAGAGAAATATTACCATGAAACATTAAGCAAACAACAACTTAATTTGGAAGAAATTAATATTTAATAAAGCAAATAAATAAATATTGAGCATATTTTGTAAATTTTGATACCCTTAAATGCTTAAGTGCTTAATGCATTATATAGCATATAAATGCTTCATTATTTCATAAACCATTACTTCATATTTTAATTTTATAATTTCTTCATCTTGGTAGATTAAAACCGATTATGTAATATCTGGAATAGCTGAAGTCCCAATGAGTCCCCATCTTGGACTTTGTACTGTATTTTTTGGAATATTCAAAGTAATTATTGGTAATTGTATTAAAAGTAATTCTTTCTGTTACATATTTGAAATATTAAGTTTTATTTTGCATGAATGAAAATAATTTTTACAAATAACTTCATGTTGCATATTAAGGATTTTTAAGTAGCATTTGTTATCATCCTGGAGATGCTTTTATTAATAATTGCAATTCTGATAAAATTAAAAAATATTTATTTAACATTTATATGAAAAGAAATGGTAGTTTTGTGTTAACCTTTAATACAATTTTTCATAGCTAAAAAGTGTGACTGAAAAGTCCAGTGAATGATGACTGACAGTGTAAAATATTTGTGCATACATACATCATTGGTCATCATCCTATAATAAAATACACTTATGACAGTGTTTGCATAACTGTTGGAAACATCTGGAGAAATATCCTCCATCTGTATAGGCTATAGTTCCCTGTTTTAAAACCCATTAGATCAACAAAACCTCGAGGGCTATCTGCATAAGAAAAGGGATGCCTTCGTGAAGGACTTTCTAAGGGAAACTGGCTCATGTATATGTTACACATGGGGAAACTACATGTTCATGGGATTCGAACCTTGGACCAAACCACAAGTGTTCAGTGATTTTATAGCTCAGCTGCTGGTGGGCCTGTTAAATGTCAGAAGATCTGTACCCTTTCAGAGTAGATTTCACTTTTGGAAGTAAATTTGATGGGACTCCATTTGGAGAATACAGAGAGGGAACTCAGTAGGCTGCATTTAGTTAGAACCTGCTTCACATGAGCTGCAACATGAGGTATGTGTTGATGAACAAAAGAAACTGAAATCTTTGTTAAAAAATGGTGGCCATACACAACGAATATGATCTAAGAGCCAACTGAGAAGTTCACACTAAAAACTTCTGTTTACCCTTCCAGTACAAATTCTTAAAGGGCTAGGCCATTATGCATCAAAGAAAGTAATCAACATTGTCTTTACCTTCCACATCTGAGAACTAAACTGTTTCAGTTTTGAGGATGAGAGACTGTGTCACTCCATGCTTTGGTGCTTAGTTTCCAGATTGTACTGGAAAAAATTATTGTTTGGACTGAAAACTTTTGTTGTACTGTACAATTGTTATACTAGAAACTTTGTACTATAGAATGTAAAAATTGCACATTGTAATCTGGCATGCTGATGAATTGCCGCACAATTTCATTTTCTGTTGTTTTCTCTTTGGTTGGTTGATGGTGGGGAGATTTTGCATTTACTCAAATTCTGGGCAACAGTAGGGCACTAGTGATCTTAAGAGGAATATCCAATTTTTCTATCATCATCCAGATGATGAAATGCCAATCTTGCATTAGTAGCTCATGAATTGTATCAGTGTTTTTTCCATTATGTACATCATCAGTTTCTCAGTCTGGTGTGTTTATTTGATGGTTTCCCACCCGTTGTGGAAATATTTAAAGTATTAGTATATTGTGTTTTAAGTTACAGCTGCATTCCTGTATGCCGTTTTCAGTATTATGCAATGGAAATCTAACTGAAAATTGGGGCTTCCTCACAAAAACCACTAATGTGCAGATCTTCAGATTGGATTTTACCTAGTTTGAAACAAATCTCATTTTGATGATCTCATCCATTATATACTGTACAAATGACATGCATTAAAAGTTACTGCATAAATGGACACCTTCCAAGAAATGTTAAGGCATGCTCATAGATATTAGATTTTGAAGAATGCCTCATATATGTTGCTGCATTTAGCGCAGTTCCCATTATTACATTAAAGGATGATTCATCCTATCTTCTAGTGACATTTCTAATTGTGTGTAATTTGAATGATAACTAAAAGTGCCCTTTAAAATAACTTGTAAATATTATTAATTCTTCAACTTAAATTGCTTTATTATAACAGAAATAAATTTTGTCTGTTAACCCTAGGAAGAAATTTTTTTTGGGTGTGATTATCAGAATGAAACTTTTGATAAGTTCTGCTTGATAATTAAGATACACAAATGATAGTTGTTAGGAATACAATAAATTTAAAACTCCAGAGTCTTTAAAAAGTTGTTTAACTTTTCAGGTTTGCTTTGATTTATATTAGAAAATTCTTTATTTGAAGTACTTTTCTTCATGTTCAGACTTGATATAAATTTTTATATTATATAAAACGAAGGAGAGACTAGCAGATAGTCGTGCCCTTTAGGTACATGAGATGACATTCACAGACAGACATGAAGAAAGACTTGATTTATTGCTGGACACTTAATTCTCAATACACATTCTCATTCATACATCATTATGAGTGCTATATGTAACCTACATTTTTGTATAGTTTACATTTTCAGACAATGAACAATAAAAATAATTAAAAGGTTCTTTAATTGGTGTGGATAAGAGCTATCTGCATTGCAGGATTATATAAATTAGCATTAATTTAGAAATGGATTAATTTTGAAAAGTCCCAATCCAGAAAGTTATTATAAACAATTGCTACTTTTAAAATAGAAAGGGAGATGCACAAATTAAAATGAAGAATTGTAGGGCTATTGCTAAATTTAGGTTATAATTTTGATTTACATATTCTCAATCTTATGCATATGTAAGATAAAAATATGTAAATCAGCTTTATAATTTAATTTAGTAATAGACTTTTAATTCCTCATTTTTAATTTGGGTATTTTGTTACTCTATTTTAAAAGAAGTGATAACTTTTTTGGACTGCGTCATTTCTAAATCATTCTATGTAACATAGCTTGTGTAATGTTGATGATATAGCTAATTCAGAACTTGAACTCAAAATGTTGATAACTGAAACCTTTCTAACCTAAATCACAACCTTTTCTTGGTAAGCCTCTGTATTAGATAATTGTGCATTTTTGCTTCAGCTGTCTTGCAGTGAAAATGTTACCTCACTCCCTTTGCTTTGTCTTGCTGCTAACTACTTCGTTATTTAAAATGTGATACTCTGTATAAAATTATGGGATGTATATTATGCCCATGATCATGTGTGATGATAAATACATTTTCGATATTTAGTTCATGCCCAGAAATAAAAATTGTATTTAATTCGGTCACGTCTGTTTACAAGTCTCTCATCTGAAGCCCCATTCACAAGAGCAGATTCACCGGTAGCGAAAACTGGTTCTTCCAATGTGTCCCGTTCACACGGCAACAAGCGTTAACTGCTTCTCTGAATTGGAGGTAGAACGTTCGTTCCTACCTTTTGGGAGCAGGGCAGATGGGTAGATTTCCCATACTGCACAGCGTGATTGTGCGGTTCACTTAATGACTGTTCGCTGGACCGTTAGCGAAACAATGGCATTGGTAGATATCTGAGAACGCGATATCATCCAAAACTGTTCAAATTAAAACTAAAGATGCACATATCAGCTTAAACTCGACAAGGGAACTTGGTACCTTTTAAATGATTTTTTTTAAATAACTTTCATCTAGTTTAATGAAATTTTATTAAATGATTTTATGAGACAAAATAATTTTAAATTAAAAAAAAAGTTTTGCCAGTATTTTTTTTAAATTTAAATTTTTGGAAAAGTTTAACAATAAAAATGTCATTCTTTTCTCGCAATTTTCAATGATCTTCCCCCCGTTTTCTTATTGTATTTATTAGAAAGTTCTTAATAACTTTAAGGATCGATTTTGAAATTAATGAATTAGTCTCTGAGAAAAAATAAAAACACATTTTTATGCAAAAACTTTGAAACAAATATCATCTCAATTACATTTCCATTTCAAAAAATGTTTCTTTTCAGTATT